GATGTTTCTGACTATCCCTCTCCCTTCCTCTCAGTAAAAAAAAAATCAATAAAATATATATATTTTTAAAAAATGTGACTCCTTGCCCTAACCGGTTTGGCTCAGTGGATAGAACGTTTTCCTGCAGACTGAAGGGTCCTGGATTCGATTCTGGTCAAGGGCATGTACCTTGGTTACAGGCACATACCCAGTGGGGAGTGTGCAGGAGGCAGCTGATTGATGTTTCTCTCTCATCAGTGTTTCTAACTCTCTATTCCTTTCCCTTTCTGGAAGGGGGGGGATATATATATATATATATATATATATATATATATAGTCTCCTTGACTTAGATGTATATATCTTCTCCTGGGTAAAAGTGATTCGTTTCAATCTTAAATGAATTTTTTCTTTTCGCCTCTTAAAAGTACTCGTTTTTTCCTGCAGTTATTGCTTCACAAAAACTGAATTCAATGAAGATCCAGTATTTCAGTGTGTTATCTGAAACACATCTGAACCTCCTGAAGCAATGGAATTTTTGATGACATGAATGATATGGCATCATACATATGTAGTAGACAGTAAAGGTGTTAGCTTTAAAATTTCTTTTTAAAAAATATATTTTATTGATTTTTTACAGAGTGGAAGGGAGAGGGATACAGAGTTAGAAACATCAATAAGAGAGAAACATCCATCAGCTGCCTCCTACACATCCTATACTGCGGATGTGTTCGTAACGAAGGTACATGCCCTTGACCAGAATGGAACCTGGGACCTTTCAGTCTGCAGGCTGATGCTCTATCCACTGAGCCAAACCAGTCAGGGCAAAATTATTCTTTTTTTAAACATAAATTCCAAAATGTCCAGAAACAACTGGCCTACATGTAAATTAAAATGAACCTTTTGGAAAAGCCTATTACTTTGATGGGGCATGTCCAAAGCTGTTGTAAGAGCAAAAGAATCCTCTCTTGAAGACAGAAAAAATTCGTTACTTGCCTTCAAGTGATCTCCTTAGTTGTCTCTGAATTGGAATATTTGGCTTGAGTACAAATACCTACTTTCTCCTTAGCTACAATTTTGACAGGTGGAGGAGACATACCTGAAGTCATTACTACTTGATCCAGACACTGCCTGTGTGTGTTTTGCTTAATACAGTAATTCAATAAGATTATATATTATGTATATACTTTTTAGTTTTCAATTACAGTTAACAATTTTATATTAGTTGCAGGTGTACAGACTAGTGATTAGACATTTATAAAACTTATGAAGGAATTCCCCCCTGATAAGTCTAGTACCCATCTGACTTAATAACATGCATGGTTATTACAATATTATTGACTATATTCATTACGCTGTACTGGTAAGATTCTATTTTTAGGATACTTTCAGAATTTGCTCTGTACTCTTGTGTTTCGATTATTCTGCAATGCAAATTTTGCCAACTTGATTAATAATGAAAATTAGATATTTTTAACCTTCCTATGAAATTTTTGGAGTGTTCACTTAATTACAAAGCAGAAAACGAATATTTAAACGCTTCAGAGTTCTTTGCATTATATTTTGTATTAACCTGTTAACCGGGGAGTTCCCTTTTTAATTACGCAACGCACTAGGACATGTCAGTACGTTACGCCCAGTGGACGTAATTTTATAATATTATTTTTTTATTTGTACTTAATTAAAATAAATGAAATATATATTTTTTCATTTATTTATATATAAGGCACAAAGGAAAATACAAAATTACAAATAAATAGAAAAGAATACCAACAAAAAAATGGAAACATCGAATTAAAAAATTATAAATTTTACAATTATAAAGATTACAAAAAATATATTTTTACTTCTATGCACAATAAAAAAATTAAAAAGTTAACAATTATAGAACAATCAACAAAATCACACAAATAAAATAGAAATATTGAGTTTAAAAAATTGAAATATAGATGTAAAAATTCAAAACTCAACTTCCATGTGATATATTTTAAAACAATTGTTGATACATAGTGCTACCTTACAATCCGGACACCAGTATGTACATTCTTTCCTAACACTTTTTTTGTAGCAAACTCGGCATTTCCTGGATTTAGTTTTTCCTATATCGCTTTTCATTTGTTCTGGAAAATGCCTTTCAACTAAGCGTGATGGTTTAGATGTAGAGCTGCTTGTTGATGTCTTTGGGTGGATTTTCACTATGTTGTTACCTACCAATTTCTCTACACACTCTATCAAAAAGTGTAATCCATCCAAGTGACTTTTATCTTTTTTGTATATAATATAAGCATTGAAGCAGCACATATCAATTAATCATAGAAAAATTTTTTATAAAATTTTTTTACCCTATTATGGGCAGCCGTGTAGGCCACCATAACTCCATCTCCCAAATCTACGCCACCCATATTCTTGTTATAATCCAGTACAACATTCGGTTTTTCATGCCTTCTTCCTCTCTTTTCAATCATTGTCTTTTTATCATTATGAATAGAACTGAGCATCAATATGTCTTTTTTATCCTTCCATTTTAAAACCATGTTTGTCTTTGATTCTTACTATATGTTCATTTTTCTGTAATTTTTTTGTTTTTATTTCACTGGGGATTCTGTTTATCCTCATTGTTCCAACAATATCTATATTGTTTTGACACAAGAGTTCAGCCAAATGAATTGACGTATAGAAATTATCTAAGTAAATCCTATACCCTTTATTCAGCAAGTCATGTGTTAACTCCAAAACAATTCTTGTTGATTGTTTTTCTTGTGGATAGTTCGAACTATAATTTGTGTCCTTGTCTGTGTACAAAATTATATTTTGTACGTATCCAGATTGGCTTTCACTCAAAATAAACTTCATTCCAAATCTAGCTCTTTTTCTAGATATATATTGTTTCCAAGATAAATTCCCTTTCCATTATAAAAGAGATTCATCTACGCATATTTCTCGTTCACATACATAAAAACTTTTAAACTTTTCTGACAAATTATTGATGATTGGATCAATTTTATATGTTTTTCTATTATATAAAGGTTGGAGATATAAAAAAATATAAGTAAATAATATATAATATGAAAATAGGTAGGTAAGTGTGAGTATGTACCCATCACTGCTCACCCAGAACAAGTCCACCACTCTCAATAGCGAAATTATACTGATTCCCTCCGTGTCTTAAATTCATGTCGAGACATGAATGGATGACTAATACCTTTGTTGTTTAGAAATATATGTCCCGCCCGTTTCAGGGCGCAACATATATTTCAAGGACATACTAATGTGTCCTACCCGTGCTCGATATTGTTTACGTTTGACGTATTTATACGTCCCGCTCGGTTAACAGGTTAATCTTTGTTTCCCCAATTCCCAGGCACATGCTACACAGGCAAATGATTATTTGTTGAGTGAAGCAGTACCCAGAAGCTGTATTTCCTTTAGGGTGTACTGCAGGAAGCTGCAAGTCCCAAAGCCCAAATAACCCAGCTTCCAGCCAAGGCATCTGGGATTCCTCACAGGTCTATTAAAGAAATTTACTGTTACGCTGCATGAAACAAACGCCTAGCGGTTTTTTGTTTTTTTTTTTTAAACCACACCCCAGCCTCCCACACAGCAAACTCAGAAACCTTGTAAAGATGATTCACAGCATTTTATACATTGTATTTAGGACAAGGACTAAAAACTCATTAACATTAAATGAACCCCTGGCTGACCTAACACTTCCCAACTCCCCAGGATTTCCAAATCGTCGTGGTAGGTTTCAGGATTTCCAATCAAGCGAGCCAAGCCCGACGAACCCTGCTCCTTAAGAGATACAAGTTACCTCCTTCTCTTGAAGCACACTTTTCAGGAGAGAGACAGGCATGGGAAACTCTCCCTTGGAAATCTTACACGAAAAAGAACTTATAATGTTCAGGGGCCTCGGCCTGCCCGCCCTAGGTGGGCCAGCGTGGAGGCGGCGGCGGCGGCCGGGGAAGCCTCAATGTCACCCGGCGGCTCCCTCCGGCGGGTGGAGCTGTCGCAGGCAGGGCCCGCGCGCAGCCGGACGGGGAGCGGGGCTTCCCCGGGCGCCGCTCCGGACAGAGCGGAGGAGGCACGGGGACCGCAGCTCGGGGAAGGCCCTCTCCTCGGCCTGGGAGCTACTACGAGGACGTAAGGAGCAGCGGGTGCGTGTCTCCCAGCCCCAGGCGCACAGGGCAAGGCCGTACCGCCGCCGCCCGGCTCCCGCCCGGCTCCCGCCCGGCTCCCGCCCGGCTCCCGCCCGGCTCCCGCCCGGCTCCCGCCCGGCTCCCGCCCGGCTCCCGCCCGGCTCCCGCCCGGCTCCCGCCCGGCTCCCGCCCGCCGCCGAGGAGCGCAGGCAGGTAAGGGCGGGAGTGAGCGGAAATCCAGGAACCCTCGGAGGGTGGGGGGGCGGGGCCGAGGGAGGGAAACCTCTAGCCTCGCCTTCGAAGCCGCGCTCCTTGTTCTCGGCGATCCTCCCGCGCGAGGCCGTCCTATCGAACGCCACTTCCGGTTCCTTTTAAAGGCCCCCAGGCCGCGCGGCGCGGCGCGGCGCGAGCCGGGAAGGAGGTATAAAAGGGAGCGAGAAGGCGGGACCGGGGAGGAAGAGGGAAAAAAAAAATAGCTGCGAGAGGGGGCGGGGGGAGGGGCAAAGGGCGCGCTCGCGCGTCACGTGATCGGGACGCGCCGTTCTTCCGTCGGCCATTTTAGGTGGTCCGCGGCGGCGCCATTAAAGCGAGGAGGAGGCGAGCGCGGCCGCCGCTGCTGCTGATTCTTTTTTTTTTTTGAGTGCCGCGGCGGCAGGGAGCGGGAGTGCGCGCCGCGCGGGAGCGGGAGGCGAGGCGGGCAGGCCGGGGAGCGGCGCAGGAGCCTTCGCAGCCGCGCGCGCCTTCTCTGCCTTGTTGTGTGCTTCGCGCGGTCCGGCGGGCGCGCGGCGGCGGCGGCGGCGGCGGGGATTACTTTGCTGCTAGTTTCGGTTCGCGGCGGCGGCGGCGGCGGCGGGTGTCGTCTCTTCAGCGGCGGAGGCAGGAGCACCATGTCGGAGGAGCAGTTCGGCGGAGACGGCGCGGCGGCGGTAGGCGGCTCGGCGGGCGAGCAGGAGGGAGCCATGGTGGCGGCGGCGGCGCAAGGGGCATCGGCGGCGGGAAGCGGAGCCGGGACCGGGGGCGGCACGGCGGCCGGAGGCACCGAAGGGGGCAGCGCCGAGTCGGAGGGGGCGAAGATCGACGCCAGTAAGAACGAGGAGGATGAAGGGTGAGTAAGGGGCGGCCCGGGAGAAGCCAGGCCCGACTATTCCCCCCTCCCCCCCCGCTCCCCGCCATTAGGCCTCGTTCCCGCTCTCTGCCCCTCCGTCCGGGGCCCCCGTGCAGCCAGCCTCCCCCGCACCGCTGCCCGCTCCTCGGCGCTGGCATCCCCGGGGGCTTTCATCGCCTTCTCCCCGCGCCCGCTCGCCGCCCCCTCCCCCATCACACACGTTTCCACCTTTAGCCGCCACCACGCTGCTCCGCGGCCCGCCCTCCTCCCCTCCCCGGCCCTGGGTCTCCTCCCACCGGCTCAGCCGCCAGGATTTTTTCCCGCCCGCCGAGGGCACCTTTCCCCCACCCCCCCTTCCTCTCTGCTCCCCGTTTCCAAAGTCCGGGGCGTAAAAAAACGCAAAGCGATATCAAGCCTTTATGCAAAACTAAGGTTTAATTCGGAGCGACTCACTCCAGCATCCCCGAGGCGATGCGATTGTTTTATAAAAGTACGGTTCATTCTTTGGGGGGAGCGCGTAAGGCTCCCACCTATGCTCCCGTTTCCGCTTCAGGAGGACTTTATTTTTTTCATTTATTTTTTTTAGTATTTTGAATTAAGTTTTGCCTCGATCCCTTCGCTTTTTTTTTTTTTTTTTTTTTTTTTTTTTTTTTTACTGTTTGCTGTCGCACTACGGCTTGCTTACACACAGCCCTATTTTTCAGCCCAGGGAACACATTGGACTAGGAATAATTCATTGGTGCAAGTCCCCGCATCGCCTGTCGGTTCCTCGGTTTTGCTCCACGGGCTTTGGTTAAGATCCCGGTCGGCGGGGCCTGCAACTTGCCTGGGACTGCTCTGCCTCTGCCTCTCCTCCGGCCTGCTGGCCGCCCTGCCCCCACCCCGCCGAGTGAGCCTAACCACGCACCCTTTTCTCGCTCCCAGCTGTTGGGTTCCCCAATTGTTCGAACAGATACGGTGCTCTTACCCAACTTTACTTTTTCTGTGCAATTTCCATTTTTATTTTATTTTTACAAAATTTCCTCCCCCACCCGGTGCCCAGGATCCTTTTTTGGTCTCTCTTGATTTCTCCTTCCTGCTCTTTTTAACCCCTGTTAAAGGAGGCCCACCAGCCTTTTTAAAAAAAATGAACAAATCCTGTATTATGCTATGGCATAACTTTTTTACTTTGCAGGTTTTTAATTAGTAACTTGCTACCTCCCATTGGAAATGGTTGTGCACATGACTTGAAGCTGCACTTATGTTAAAAATGCAGCACTTGGGAGCCGGAGTTAGCAGGAGGGACTAAATCGGGGTTCTTGGTTGGGTTTTCTTAACTCCTGTTAATACCGATCTTGGGTCAAGCTTCCGATCCTTTTTGTAGTGTGTGTGTTACATTTCATTATAACAAGGGGGAAAGTGTTGGAAGGTAAAAGCACGTGGGAAAGAGCACACGATTTGGAGGGAGGAGAGAGAAGCTCTTTGGAGTACAGGGTTTAAGTTTAAGCCCAGACAGACTTGTTCGGCTGTTTGCTGATTGTGCTGACTGGGAGACTGGAGGTGGGATAGGAAACTAGCTTTTCTTAATTAATCTTGAATAATGTATAGCTTAACTTAAGAAAGGGATATGTTAAATATTTGGAAACTTAAGCCTTACTACTTTGGTTTTTGTTTTCTGAATTCTTTTATTTGGGCAGAGGTACCAAAATGAGTAATTGTATAACTTGCTGTTTGGGGCAGGCTTCCTGTTAACCTTGATTTTTCAAATCGCAAAAGTAGCTGCCTTTGTAGTTAGCTACTGTTGAACTGAAGTGTAAATTAATTAAAGTTTTTAACCCTAACAATGTCAAAAACTAAAACTAGAATTTTGATTGGTTGCTGTACCGGTTGTTAATTCCCTAGCCATTCAAACTCCTCCCCACGACACTCTGAAGCAGCGACGGCACAGCGGGAAGAATGGTAAAACTTTTAAATTTTATTTCTGTATTATAAAGGTTTCAGTAGTCATAACTTGGAGAGGCTGTGTTTTGGTTTGTTGCCCATTGACTCCCCAGGAAATTCTAGACATTATTACAGTAGGATATCTTGCACCTGGGATATAAAATCTTTTTAGGTACCATGAGTGATCTTTGGGCAAAACTGATGCTATTTATTACATGGTTTTTGTTCTCTGGTAATGCATGAAATTGTGGTTTGGCCAATTAAAGCTTATTAATATAATTAGTAATTTTTTTTATCTTGGCAAGAAAAAATAACTAATTTCAAATTTGATTTTTGTTTTTAAAGAAAAAGATAACTTTTGAATTATAAGTTTAGTGCTAAATGTAAAGGTTACTTGATACATATGAATTCTTATGTTTAAAATGTCTTGCATGTTATACTGAAATATTCTGGAGATGTCAAAAGTAAAATATTTTTAAAAGCATTGTGTATATATTATGCAGAACTGTACGTATTTTATCACCAAACCTGTTTGTTTATAAGTATAACTTTAAGAATTGATACGTACTATTCAAAGATGGGCTGATGTGGCTTTCCACTACAGCTCTTAATTCAGATTTTTTATTTTGTGTGATTTGGCTGGAATGTTAATTACAGTTGGTTGACATGTTCACAGTTGCATGACTGCTTTTGGGAAGGCTAGATTGACTGTTTTTTATATTCCCTTTCTCTAAAGCTCAGTCTGTCTTTAGGATTATATTAGAGTTCTTTAGGATTATATTAGAGTTTTCCAGGAGTTTTTTTTATCTACCACTGCTGGAACATGGAGGGCCAGTAATTTGTAGATAGCTGACATATATACATATTATCTTCTAAGAGCCCAGTTGGGATATCATTTAACTTTTATTTGAGTTTTTCTTGATATTGTATTCTTATCCACTAAAACCTATCCAGTTTTATATTAGAGATAAAGCAGACTGGATGCAGCAGTAGGGGAAAAAAGCAAAAGAAGAAACCAGGTCAGAGTAGGACATAATAAAAATGTTTCTGCTGAAAATTATACCCCCATACTGTTAATAGTGACACACTAAGATTAAAGGATAACTGTACTTGGTTTTCCTACCCCATTATATATTCCAAATCTTACCCAAGTAATTATTTTCAGTAATTTGAAAGGACTATAAACTTAGGTCATTGTTTTACTCTTGTAAAAATTATACTTGCCTTGTTACCTAATACTACAACTTCACAAGTTTTTTGAGTGACCTCTCAGGAAAAATTGGCAGTTAAATATTTATAGTTTAATGAACATTTTAAATTCTGTCCGATTATAACCTATTGAAAATAGGAGGTTCACTTTAAATTAAGCAAGTTTACATTTAACGAATAATGCTTTTCATTTTTAAAATCTTAATATTTGACCTTTTAAAATTATTGCCCACCCAGCCTCATCCTATTAGATTAATAAAATACTGTTCTTTTGAACAAACAAATCTCAAGACCATTAAACAACTGTCTTCCTGTTTGAGGGACATTGGGCAGCAATTCCATAATAGTTTCAATAGTGAGGACAAGACTGCTTACTAGATATAAAATCACCTAAATTAAAATTTTTAAAAAAAAATATATTGATTTTGTACAGTGAGGGAGGGAGAGATAGAGAGCTAGAAACATTGATGAGAGTCATCGATCAGCTGCCTCTTGCACATCCCCCACTGGGGATATGCTGGCAACCAAGGTACATGCCCTTGACTGGAATCAAACGCGGGTCCCTTCAGTCCCCAATCCGATGCTCTACCCATTGAGCCAAACCGGTTTCGGCTAAATTTAATTTCTTAAACACTTTTCTGCATGTGTTTCTTTTTATAATTCTAACTTGGGAATAAAGTGATTACAGTTTCATCCTGTTATTAAATCATTTTGTTGTAGATTTAAAAGTTTTCCCAAAATCTGAGTATAAGACTAAACAGCTATTCTGAGGAGGGCATGCCTGTGATATACTTTGAATAGATGAAGTAATTGTTTTCATAATAAAATGCCTTCCTGAATTCACCTCATTTTAATCTTTCCAACTTTAATATGTTAGTTTTTATTAGCTTTCACACTAGAATTTCCTCTTTGGGTATGGACTCATGTTCTCTACAGGGCTGCAGTTCCATTAAGGTAGATACTCAAAGATTAGTGTCTGGCAAAATAGACATGCCATGTAGCAAGGCAATTTTTAAATTCTCATGCTCAGTGGAAAACTAAAATGCAGTAGCTTTCAGACACTTAAAAATAGGTACATTGACTGGTTTGCATTGGATTGGGCAAGAAGCAAAAAGTCCTATCCAGTTATCATAGCAATACTTTTCTAATAATAGGATGTTTGATCTATTTTTCTAATCATTAGTGTATAAGCTCAAGTGTGATTAGCCTGTTGTGAAATTTTGTGAATGCTGTTATAGGTTTTCTCCTTTTAATTTTTAAGAAATGGGACTACACGTTTTTGTTTTAAATATTTGAGATCATAATATACCCTGGTGCTTTGAGGCATTCTGAACATTATTTGCTTTGTAAAATTTTTGAAAAATTTTAGACCAGTCTCATGCCAACTTTACTGGTCTTTGAGTTAGTAAACTTGAGACCCTGAGTAGATGGGGTTTGAATAATAGCATTCTTTGGAACCTTTGACAAGTTTCCAGTGTTAAAATTGTAGTAATTGGTGTCCCCAAATCTTGAGATAATGAACATATAAGGGAGGAATAATAAATTCTCTCCATTTCAAATTCTTATCTATAAAGATACTATAAAAATCACCTGACCTTTTTAGTTTAGAATTAGAGAATATCATTGAAGTTTTTCAGTGGTCATTTTTGAGATAAAATATTGGCCTTAAGCCTGTTTTTCCTCAAGTCGTGTGACATCTTTTATAAACTAGTGTATTTACTGTGTAGTTTTAATATTGCCTGAGTATTCTGTCATGTATGGCTGCCCTAATATAAGAAAGTCTTGCCTGTTGTGATTTATAACCAACATGTAGGATAGTTCATTTTAGTCTTCAAGTGATATATGCCATACCTGAAAACATTTAAAAGGGAACTTTTTCCCGTATTCTACTTAAAGCTGTGCACCTCAAATGTGTGCAAGTTCACAAATGTAGTGAAACATAACTTGTTAGTTCAAAGTTTTATTTCACTTTAGTTCTGCTTCAACATTTTAGTAGATAGGGCACTGAACTGGATGCTGGAAGCGTGGGATCTGTTTCTCTTACTTCACTTCCAACAGTGTGGTCTCAGGTAATACAACATGTTTGTTACTTGGTTTGCTGATCTATGTGTTGGAAACAACTGCTCACCACAGGAAGATTGACTACATAGCTTGCTTTCAGTTTGTGTGTATTTGTCCTGTGTCTTAATAGTTGATACTGCCAGTGGTTTACTCCTGTGGAGTAAAGGTAAGCATGTTTTAGTTTTTGGAGTATTATATTGTACCTTGGAGCTAGATATTTAAGACTGGGATGGGGTGGGAAAGACTTATTACTGGCAGTATTTGACCAATAGTCAGGGTGATAGTTTTAAGGATTGGGTCATGTTCTGCAAATTCCTGCTCATCTAGACTTAACACTGTCATTAAAGCCCAAACAACTAGGAAAATCCCCTCTTTTAGCCCTTTGAAAAAGATGAAAACTACTAGCAAGTAATAATAATAAAAAAAAAAAAACCAACCATGTCATGGGGTGAATCTTTTGTAATTTTTCCCCTTATACTATTAAAAAGTTAAGAATTGCAGGTTTCTTAAATTTCACCAGTCAGCAAAGATAATAATCATTTTCTGAGTTTAGTGTTGATATTTAAATTGATTTCCAATGCATATCATTGTAGAATTGTGAATGTAGTAATCTCAGTTAACCAGAATTTTAGCCTCTAGGTTAAGGAAGCTCTATTCCTTAACCCCTAGGTATATGTGACTTACAAAACTGAGAGTTTATTTGAAAAGTAAATATACAAGATGTCATTCCTGCCTTGGAATGAAATGAAGAAAAGGAAGAGATTTGAGGTTAAACATGTAAAGTTTATTTAAAACCTGTCAAGTTTAGCTTATTAGCTATTATGTTTTCAACTTAGTATTCTAAAGTATAAAATAATGACATTTAATAATATACCAAGCTAGGAAAATTAATATTTTATAATGATTGTTAATGTTTGTAAGCTATTTCTGAAGGTATGTTTTACACAGAATCTAAAATGATTACTTTTAATGTGATACTATTTAGTTGCAAAAAGTAAACCCATCCTTTCCATTATAGGTAACTGGTGACTTTAAAATAACTATAATTTCTAAGGGGAAAACGCCACAAGTATTGGGGAGATTTCATTATATTAAATTTAATATTTTAAAGGAATAACTACAACGATAAAATACCAGGAAATTTATTTAAATAAAGGTTAGTGGTGTGCTTGAGTAACATTTTGAAAGGTGACAGTGATTGGCTAGTCAAGTACTTGAAATGTAAATCACATTTACATTTTGTCGTATTTTTTAAACTGTCAGAACTTGTTATGAAACCACGTACGAAGAAATTTCAGAAGTCTTTGAAAGTTACAAAATTTGGGAGGGGGCGGGTTCCCTATTCCAAAATTGAAAGTCTATGCTTATAATTTTACCTTGAATAAGATATTTCACATCAAAGACTTGTTAGGGGAAGTAACTTGAAATACAATACTGTTGGTTTTGGAATGTTAAACCGAATGACCTCAAAAGTACAGAGAAAAAGTTCCTTAAATGGGAAAAAAAAAAAACCCAGAAGAATTAAAGCATTTCCCACCAACCAGCTCTGCTCCATATGTGATGCCTTCTATATTTTGAAATTATTCCTTACATTAACTTGTGTGGAGTACAGACTGGTGTTATGTAGAGAGACACGAGTCATAAGATGATTTGTGGAATTAAACTTTAGTCTTAGACAACCTGATTTTCACTCTACATATATTTTTTTTACATGGGATACTTAAAAATTTCTGCGTTAAGTCTGAAAATAATCTTAGGATCCATTATATAAAATTCATCCTGACCTTTCCCCTTAATGTTGGAAATGTCATATAGTTCATGCAGATTTAAGATATGCCATTGAATACATGAAAAAGTTGCTTTGTTAAATTGTTTAGATTGTGCTCTACCACTTCTAAATAATAACTTATTTTTATTGAGCATCAGACTATGTTCTGTGCTAATTTAAGGTAGGCTCTTAGTCTTTTGTTTTGTTTTCTTTTATAGATGTGGAAACAACCATGGAATTTTTTTTCCCCCTTGGGGTCACAGTTAGTAAGTGGTGGAGGTAGGATTTTGGTTTACTGCCTCAATTTATTTTCTCGAAAGTATATCCTACAAAGCAGCCTAAATTTCTAAAAGATACTGGATAGCATTTAGATAAGTCATTTGCACTCAATTATATAACTTTTGCCTGTCATTTACTGTAATAAGGGGTAAAATCAATATCAGTAAAAGCAGAGACTTAAATTGTTGAGTGGGTGTTCTAAATTGAATAGTATGTGCCTTTTGGGGTGCTAAATACCTTAGAGGTAGAATTAAAAAAGTAAATGATTAATAAATTACTGTAGGTGAAATCCTACATTTTAATTGGGGTTATTGATTTACTTGAAACTAAGGATCAAATTTTAAACTATTGCAGCATTAGGGACCCATTTTTGTTGCTACTTGAACACATCTTGTGATGTAGTTATAACTTGGCTGCTTAGGATTTTTCTGACGTTCTATCTGTACTTCATTGTAAAGTGTTTGCACATCTCTGCAGGAGTGACAGCATCTTGGAAGTCAGTCTTTGTATTCAAGGCAGCAGAGGTAATCTGGATGGACAATAGGTATTGTGCTTTAAGCAAGATACAATAATATAAAACATAGAAACTTTAAATTGGTATCATCTTACACCATTTCAATTTGAGGGAGAGCTTGTCAGAGTGCTGGTGTTATAGAGAGAAAAAATAAGTTGCCATTTATCCAGAATTAAAGATAACACTTCACTGTACCATACTGTGATGTTTTGATGTGCCTACTGAATAAAAGATGGAATGTATTTAATATGTTCCATTTAGTACTGATGGAATGGACTTGGTACAGTTTATGTTCATTGTAGTATATTTACTTGTCTGGTAATCTGTTATGCAGCAACTATACTTAGAGCAGGAAAAAAAGTGATTTATGATCTACCAAATGGAAATACATTTGCCTCAGAAGAGCCACTCTTACTCAGACTACTGTAAACGTTACATAAAATTTGGAAAGTTTGAGTGTCATCTACCTATGCTACCAAAATGGGTTGTTGAAGGCCTTCTTAGAACAGCAACCGGTGATTAACCTGGCAAAAATGAAGTAACTTGTTAAAATTTCTAAGACATGGGATGTACAAAGTGTGTTAATAAATAGCTCTAACTTATAGTAGCATGATATATTCAGGATGACTGACCCAAAGAGTGTCAAATCATGATTACTCTACTTAAGGCAGAAAGGTGATATGTTGTAGGTGAAAAATTTTATTCCAAATAATTGAAGGTTAAAGAACAGTTGGAAAGAGATTGGGGAAGGCTGACAGTGCCTTAAGGAAGGTGGAATATTTGGCTTTCATTCTTTAAAGGTGCTGGATAGCTGAAGTTGTTTTACTACATGGTTTGCTCTAAATATTTTGAGAAATCATAATCTTAATATATATATATATATATAAATTACCGTTGGCCAGAATACTTTATATTCTGAAAATGGAATTTGATGGATTAGGAAGGATAGCATCTTCAGTGACCTTTTCAGTACTAAGGTAGACACAGTTAACAACTTCTCTGCCAAAGACTTAAAGGTGGAAAGTTTCTTTGGAGAGCACTGTTATAGGGCTAGTTAATGAATTAGTAAGCTTATCTAATATTTAAGAAAACTGATTTCCTGTGCTGTAAAAAACATATTGGGGCTTGTGAGTAATAATAGAACATGCCTCGTTCTTGATGTTAGAATTTATTTGCGATTTTTTTTGTTTTTGGTTTTTGTTTAGTTTAAGGATACTTAATCCAATGTAAACATTGCTTTGGTTAAATAAAATTAAAACGAATATTGTCTCAAATACAAAAGCTTTTTTTTAAAGCTAAAATTGAAAGGCAAGAACATTCTGTGTCTGATTTGTTTCTTAGATATTCTTTAGAGGCTGAAATAATTTCAAACCTGGATTATTGGTGGAAAAACTTCTGTAATACTTACAGAATTGGTAATTTAAAATTTATTCAACTTGAAGTTGTTTCTGTTCCGGAACTTGTAATGGATAAATAAGACGTCATTGCTTTATTAGTCAGTTTTCTCATCTTTTAAAAGAGTTATGTCCTTCTAACTGTAAATGTTGGTAATGAACTTTCATGTATGAAGGAAGTACTCGGGATCTTTAGGTAAAGAAATAAGGTGTTTAAGGCAACTTAAGTGACTAGGATTGGATATTACAAGATGTATTATTGAATGAAAGAAAATGTAATTGAAAATAACCTCAAACCTCCTCCCCCCATTGAATAAGCAATAAATGTTAACAATACTTATACAACATGGATGTTTGGTTATGCTCATTTGATTATAAAATACAAAAATGGGTTAATAAAGATTCCTTTAAGCATGGAAATTTTATCAGAGAAAATCCAGCAAGTGTATAAATGGCCCAACACTAGGAACATGTACAAGTTGAAAACCTGACCTGAAGTGGGAAGTAGTGTATGCCTTAAGTAAGATTTCTTTTGCATTAAAAGTTAACTTTGTTATTAGTAGTAAAAATAAGTTTATGGGTAAAATAGTAAGATCAGTAACACCTCAGTTAATCTGGCATCTGTAGGGAGAAGCAGAAGCAAGATCTTATTCTAGGGATAAAATTGGCTTCTTGTTGCAAGAATTGGCTTTAGTGGTTAATATTTTAAAACCCACAAGATGTTGATATTTTCTGCTTTAATTTCTTTCCACAGCTGGAAGTTAGTACCACATCCCCATCCCTACCCCGACCCACCCCAGTTATAAAGATGATAAATCGGTGAGCAAGGATGATTTTATTCCCATGATGAAATTTTTAGCCCTCACATAACAAATTCTGACAGTTTACCCTTAAAATAAAAATCTCCAGTCCTGTCTCTTTAAAGGGTAGGAGGTATGTCATATGACAGTTCTTTTGTAGAGGGAGACTAGGGCACAGATCTAAAAAGGATCACAGAGTTGCAGGATATGAGCTTTATGGCCTTTTGCTGTTTACAAAAAGGTTTCACCTTAAATTTTTTGGTAATATATTTTGTTCTTAAAGTGTTTTAGTGGTTTCTGTTTACCACCAGTCATTTTTAGCATTTTAACGGTTTACATATTTTATTGCTGGTTAACTGAGGTTCTACTGTAAATAAGTCATCTAGGTTAATTAGTGGATTGTGCTTCAATGGATAATTCTTTTTGTTCACTAGATTGTTCACATGATCACTTTTATCTTTATTAAAAACTCCACATTAAAAAACTTGGTTTACAACTTAATTGTGATGTGAGATTTAGAATTTTCCATTGTATGTGCTGAGAGTTTTGTTAATGAGAACTATTAAGTAGAAAGGAAGTTTAGCATAGATATGCTGTCACTGATCACTGAGGAATAAATAGCCTTTTTATATGTGTAATGAAGATTTGGAAGGGAAATTTGAAGCTAAAATTCTGTATTTTGCTGTTACCAACACTTAATTTGTAATTTAAGAAAGGCTTTTAATGTACAGGTTTTGTTTGTTGTTTTTTTTTTTTTTTTTTTTTTTTTTTTTAACTTTGGGGAGACATTTATCTCTGCTAAGCCAGAAAACTTTAATCTGCTGCTTGCTCACTGTATTGTAATTATGCAGAAGCAGCAGTGATAAAGCAAAACTTTCCCAAACTGGAATTGGGTGTTCTTGATATGTGGTTATATAGGAAGAATGACATTTTCACATACTGCCCAGTAAATTGGTGCAGTCTGAAAAAAGGGATTATTGATTTCAATACGTATCTAGGGCAAAATTTGTTTTTTTTTTTTTTTTGTTTTGTTTTTTTTTAGCATTTTAATATTGCTTTTTGTCTTTACAGGAAAATGTTTATAGGAGGCCTTAGCTGGGACACTACAAAGAAAGATCTGAAGGACTACTTCTCCAAATTTGGTGAAGTTGTAGACTGCACTCTGAAGTTAGATCCTATCACAGGGCGATCAAGGGGTTTTGGCTTTGTGCTGTTTAAAGAGTCGGAGAGTGTAGATAAGGTAGTGTGTTATGTGTTCTGATTAATTAATAATAAAAAAATGTTCATAGTTTGATAAAATTAATTTGCCCATTTGTGATTTCCCCTTTTGCAATAATATGAAGTGTTAAAATTCTTGCCAATACATTTTATTATGAAAAGTTAGATTCAATAATTGTTTACTATGCCAACTATACTACTGATAAAAAAATTTAAAAATATGCTCAAGTATAAAAATTTATTGAATACGTGTATTTTGTGTGCCAGGCTCTACTAAAATAAAATTAACTTTAAAAATATTGAGACTTAAAGATGACTAATTAAAAGGATGTGTTGTGACAAGTTTATAGTAGTACAGTTTGTTTGCTTTTTAATTTCCTAGGCAAGAAACTTAGTTAACTGAGTCATTTTGTCTTGGGCTAAGGAGAAGAGGCATTCATGTCTCTATTGCTGATAGTTAGAGGTGATGTTTTATAGTTACTGATTTGTGTCTCCTTCCTGGTTCTTACCTTTATGTTTAAATACTGGTGTCACGTAACTACAACTTGACAGTTTAATCATGAGCCAGTCAACATGTACCTAGTTAACTATAATTATTTTTAGATAAGTTAATAATAGTCTCTGAACTTAAGATATACATATTTAAAATAAAAAACTTCAATTTCCTTAGGTCATGGATCAGAAAGAACATAAATTGAATGGAAAGGTGATTGATCCTAAAAGGGCCAAAGCCATGAAAACAAAAGAGCCTGTTAAAAAAATTTTTGTTGGTGGCCTTTCTCCAGATACACCTGAAGAGAAAATAAGGGAGTACTTTGGTGGTTTTGGTGAGGTATGTGATGTTTTGACTCAGTTTTCTTTCCAGATTAGTTGAATATAATTGTCACATTAAGTTTTTTTTTTTTTTTTTAAGCTTTAAACATTATATGGTTATTTTTGCAATGAGGATATTGTGAGTACTTTTATTAGCAGATCTTTAAAGGTTGGATGATTGCATTTTTCCATTTATTGAGGAACTGTATGCATAGCACTGCTGTGCACAGGGTAAACAAAGATGAAATAGACTTTTTTAAAAGATATTGATTTTTTTTTTTTTTTTACAGAGAGGAAGGGAGAGAGATAGAGCTAGAAACGTCGATGAGAGAGAAACATCAACCATCTGCCTCTTGCACACCCCCTACCGGGGGTGTGCCCGCAACCAAGGTACATGCCCTTGACCAGAATCGAACCTGGGACCTTTCAGTCCGCAGACCGATGCTTACTGCTGAGCCAAACCGGCCTTGGCTAAAATAGACATTTTTATTTCATAGAATATTAATAGATAAATTTAAATCAACATGAATAAGAAATCCAAATTAAGTTACCTGAGATATAGAAAGAAATGGTTCAGCTGAGATTAGGGAAATAATGAATTAAGAATAGAGTTTAGTGTCTTCTAATTTAAGTACATGTATATGTGCAAATTTTATTAGGCTAATTATAGATAGTGAAATAGTGAGATAGAAGTTTCTTTTGTGGATTAATGATTTAAGGCTGAGAAATATAGGACTTTGACCTACAAATATAATTTGCACATATAGCTTGCATGCATCTTTTGCTTGATTTACAACTGAAGCATGTTTTGATAGTATTTAGGAATGGAAATATTTCCCACAAAAATCTGAATATCTAGCTTTCTTAAATATTTGTAAGAGTAAGCAACTTTGGAACTGCTTTCTTGTATGCAATAGTTATCTAAGATGAGTAGAAGTTTCCACCTTTGGGCAGTCATAAGTTCTGCAGTTTTCAGTGGTCCTCATCACTCTTCATTTTCTCCCAGATGCAGTCTCTTTTACTCTGTTTTTCTTAAAATTGACTTTCCTTCTGCTTGTTCTTGATGGGGCATTTGAGTTTGTTACCCTTTTTTTTTTTTTAATTTTTATTGTTCATATTATTACAAATGTTCCTCCCCCCCCCCCCACCATGCTCTCCTCCACCAGATTCCCACCCCACCCTCCGCCCACTCCCCATTGTCCCCATCCATAGGTGCACAGTCTATGTTCAGTCTCTTCCCACACCCCCCTCTCCCCTTTTCCCCAAGAATCATCAGTTCACTCCCCTTCCATACCTCTGACTCTATTATATTCAACCATTAATATTGTTCATCAGATTTTTTTTTAATTTCCTTGGTTTTTGGATTCGCTTGTTGATAGTTAAGTTTGTTACCTTTGAATTAGATAGCAAATATTAGTCCTTGTGATACTTGTTTAACATATAAATATATTTGAAGACATTTTAGGTAAGAGTGGATGTTCTAATTTGATGAATGCTTTTCAAAGATTAGAATTAATGGAGAGGGACACAGCATATTAAAACCTGAGGCCCAAATACATGTTTTCTTTGTGCACTTGTCCCTTCTAAAGTTGTGCTGTTATTGTAATGTGCAAACTAAGGCATTCAACATTTTTTATATCAGGTGGAATCCATAGAGCTCCCCATGGACAAATCAAACAAGAGGCGTGGGTTCTGCTTTATTACCTTTAAAGAAGAGGAGCCAGTGAAGAAGATAATGGAAAAGAAATACCACAATGTTGGTCTTAGTAAAGTAAGTGAGCTTTCGTTTAATTGCAGACTTACAAAACTAGCTTCTCTTTTTTGAGAGTATAATCATACAACTTTTTGTCAAGACTTTCTTCGGTGCGCTTGTGCTTTAAAGATGTTCCATTAGCTCTTGTTTGTCAAAGTCATTGATCAACTTTTTTTGCTTTGACTGGGGAGCAAGAGAGAAACTAATTTTATTCCTTACTTGAGGATATTTTGCCATTGATTTTTTTAGACATCTCACACAGAAATGTCTATGTGAGAGAGACACATCGATTATTTGCCTCCTGCATGAGTCCTGACCAGGGGCCAGGCTGGGCCAGGGAAGAGCCTGCATCTGAGGTATATACCCTTGACCGGAATAAACGCCGGACCCTTCGGTCCCCAGGCTAAGGCAGGAACTAATTTTAAAAAAGATAATGTTTATTGATTTTTAGAGAGAGTAAGAAAAAGATAGAAACATTGATATGAGAGTGAAACATCGATGAGCAGCCTCCTGCATGGCCCCAACCAGGGAAGGAGCCCGCAACCTCAGGCATGTGTCCTGGCTGGGAATCAAACTGGCCACCTTTCATGATGTCCAACCAGCTGAGACAAACTGGCCAGGACAAAACTTATTTTAAGTGAATTTTGGTCTAGGCTTTACCAAAATACATTTTTTGAAAAGTAGGACATAGTAATATATTTCAAGCAAATACTTTTTTGATATCAGAAGTAATTATTTCTTTAAGTACTAATGGTTTCAGTTGGTAAACAGATTAGCCACCTGTATTTTAGACAGTATTGGCCATTCTGAATTCAAAACAATATTTTTTGATTCAGTATATTTTCTTTTTCTTTTTCTTTTTTTTTAGTGTGAAATAAAAGTAGCCATGTCAAAGGAACAGTATCAGCAACAGCAACAATGGGGATCTAGAGGAGGATTTTCAGGAAGAGCTCGTGGAAGAGGTGGTGGTAAGCTAGAGTCTAAGTTTACTCTATCTTAAGCTTTTCTGCTTTTTAATTATCCTGAAGTAAAGATCTTTGCTGATCTTCTGAC